CTTCCTACATGGTAAACAGCAGGCGAAACAAGGTGAGTAGAAATACTGAGGCGCAATAAAATCAACTAGATGACTGCAATTACATAAATGGCATTTTTATATTAAGTATATGCCCATGTCAGCTATATTTCTATACAGGCGCATAAATTATGGGAGCACCTTGGATTTACGTCGTTGCTGAATCAGTTTTGTTGACAAGAAAGCACTCAATTGAGCGGAGGAGAGTGAGAGAGAGAGATGACGTTAGAAGTGGTTGTCTGGATGCTTTGAAAGTCTAGTCCTGCTAATATACGATGCGAGAAAGGGTTTGAAGGTAGTTTGGATTCATTATGCCATCATCACTGACCGTATAATGCAAAATTCCAAATGATTGCAAATAATTTATTTATTTCAAATGGGAGACGTTTTGATAGTTATCATTAGCCCTTTAGCTGACTTCGGGCTCTATAGAGAGGAGAAGGAACATGAAAGTGAAAGAAAGTAGAGAGGGGGGACAGAGGAGTGTTCCAAAGAGACAGACAGACAAAGGTAGAGAAAAGGTGAGATGCGTACTGTGAAAGTAGTTGAGTACGACATACAGTGGGATCATTTCAGTTTGAAGTTAGATGTCAACTGCCGGTTTCTAGACTTTTTTGCCGTATAGGAGATGTCAACTGCCGGTTTCTAGACTTTTTTGCCGTATAAGTATACGTTGCCCAAGGTGCACCACGTGGAGGTAAGTCTATAGCACGCCCCTGATTGCAAATAATGAATGATTGTCAAGACTCTTTGATAATTTGAATTCTGATGGCATAGAGTTGTTCACATTCACAATTGAAATACAATTCACGCTGGAATTGCCTTATGTCCTATATTTGACGCATAGATACTTATACAGGCTATTGAAATTAATCCTCGAATTTGGGAATATTTATTTAATTATTTATTTTTCCGATTTTGATATGCTTTCACTCATCCATCCAATTCCCCTCCCCTATTTTTCTAGTTTAATACAGTTCGCACACCCTGTGTTATCATCTAAACTGGGCCATTTTTAACTATGATTTCTGTTATACGAACGCACACACACGCGCGCGCGCGCGAAAAATCAGGTAGGAAAGGTTTACTTAAGAAATATTTTTCTTACAGGTAGTTAAATGCAGATGAATTCAAAAGGTGAAGTTTTTCGGCACGCACAAAAAGTAATTTCTAACCCCCGGGTTTTTTTGTGCGTTCAAACTAGAGAGGTACTTTAAACTTTTCCTCAAATCTTTCATTTCTCCAGCCCTTTCCGCCACGTCCCCCACCCACCTTCCCTCCAGCACTTCTTACTTAATTCCGCCTCGTTATCCACCAAGCACCCGGGCTTTCAATCACAGCAACTCCCGGGCACATAAATTGGATAATTTTTACGAAATAGAAGAAGAGGAAGGAGGAGGAGGAGGAGAAGACGACGACGAGGAGGAGGTGGAGGACAACGATGGAAAAAGAGGAATGAAGAAGCCGAAAAAAGCGGTCCGTCTCTGCCGCTTAACTTTGTATTTCGCCCCGGAAATAAACGTATGTGCTGTTGTTGCTCTCCGTGCAACAACTGTGATTCGGCGTCTTATTTGGAGCCCATTTGGAGCGGGTGGGGTGGAGGGGGGGGGATGGAGGTGGAGGTGAAGGAGGAGGGG